GTGTATCACGATATAGTTGAATTGCAGGAATTTAAGCTCAACACATAGTGCACCGCTCACGGTTAAAAGCCACCATATCTGTTTTGGATGTATATTTGATATTTACTGAGCATTTTTTTGGGATTGACTTTTGAGAAAATTTCAGCGCTACATCAATATTTAATTCATTGTATAAGCTTCCCTCTGAGTGTAACTTTATGGGCTTCCCACAAGGTCGTAGGAGATGAAACAGAGCCAGAATTGTCTGTAAAATAAGTGGAGATGGATTCTCGAATGGTGTTAGTCGTTTCATCGAAAGCGAGTCATTGAGGTACCAGGAATAAGATTGGGGGGCTGAGGCCAGATACTTGCAGGTGAGTAATTGTGAATGATCAGACCAAGGGGTAGATATAATCTTAACATTGAGAATGTCCGAGATGAATGGTTGGGGGATGAAGTGGTTTATTCGCATATGATAGTCGTGAGGTGTTGAGTAATATGTATAGTCTCGCTCCCTGGGATTAAATTCTCTCCAGGTGTCCACCAAAGCATATTCAGTCAGGAGCTCTTTGAGTTTAGCTTGCGAGTTAGCATCAGTGGAGACCAGGGAGGAGGTGGTAGAAGATCACTGGTCCAGCTGCTCGTTTAACACAATATTGCTGTCCCCCATCATGATCAGTGTTCCCTTCCTATGCAAGGTAATGACTTTTTAACAAGTGGGAGAAAAGCAATGGTGATGGGCATTAGGGGCGTAGTAAACTATAGTTACTTCCATATCTAGGCTCATTCCCTGTAAGAGCAGGCAACATCCTTTGTGATACGCAATTTCAAAGCAGCATATGAAAGGGGCGCTTTTGTGGAATTCCACCAAAACACTTCTTTTTTTTTTTTTTAATATTATATTTTATTTATTTTTTCCTCAAAGGTCGCCTGAAACAGCTGAGGGTAATTTTTTAATTTTTGTGGAAATATTTTGGAAAGGAAGATGTGGAGAACCATGTCTCCTGCAGGCCGACAATATGGGCTCGGAGTGAGGCATAAAAAGTAAAACTACACTTGGGTTCCGGGGGGGGGGGGGTAGTTGAAACCCTTTACGTTATAGGACACAATAGCAAATAGAGAAGTAGCCATCATGGTGAGTAGAGGGTTAAGCATCTGAAAATTGCAGCAGAGGTCCAGATTGAATGCATCAGACTCAAGCATTCCAAAGTCCAGGAAAATTAAATAGAATAAACAAGAGAATAGAAGAGTAGAAAGAGGGGGAAAAAGGAGTAGAGTGTGCTCAACCGCAGGGTCGTTAGGGAAAAAAATGCAGCAGCAGTCAATGGCAGTGGTTATATGCACAGCCATAGGTGGCGGTAGACTGGGCTGGCCGTGTGTGCATTTCTTAATTTAGCAAAATAAAAAGGAGAACATAGAAGGTAAACTTTGCGTAAAAGTTGCCTGACATGGAGGGTGGGGGAGCAAAAAGTGGAAGGGGGAGAGGAGACAAAAAGGGGGGGGGGGAAATGGTACTTTAGTAACACTGGAGCCAGTCACGGGCAACCTAAAAAGTAGGTGTGCAGAGTCCAAAATAAAAAGGTGGACCAGGCGGTAAGGGCGGCCAAAAGAGGGTTTAGACAATGTTTCAATCGTCGGCTGGGACATCAGGCCTGGAGGTAGGTCTGCTCTGCCTTGACTTGGGGCATTGTCTTCGAGGCAATGGCTACCAGAGGGGGGGTGAGGTGAGGAAATTTTCGGGAGGAAGATTGTGAGGTTTGTGAGCCCGATGAGGTTGGGAGCATGAGTTGCAGCTTGGTGAGAACTTCTTGGGCTTCTTCCCGTGAGGTAAAACGTATGGGTGGCTTTGGAAGGAAAACGTTTAAATGGGAAGTTCAATCGGTATTTGATGCGGTGGCTTTGTAGTGTTTAGAGGAATGGTTTTTCTTCCTTGCGCTGCAGAAGTGTTTGCAGGGCTAGATCAGAAAAGATTTGGTATTGGTGTCATTGGAAAGTGAGATCTCTCTTAGACCAGGCCGCTTGCATAATGGCTTCCTGGTCTTGTAGAAAGTGGGCTTAACTATGACATCACGGGGAGGTCCCTTGGTTCTTTTTGGGCACAAAGCCCTATGCATCCTGTCATATTCCAGCCTCCCAATTAGGGTTCCTGGGATGAGTTCTTGTAATAAGGCTGTAACTGTAGAATTTAAGTTGTCTATGGATTCAGGAAGGTCTCTAAACCGAAAGTTTCCCCTTCTAGTGCGATTCTCCAAGTCCTCAGGTTTTTGGAGGGCAGAGGTGAGGTCTAGTCTGATGGGGTCAATATCTTGTTTGTGATTATCAATCACCAGGATAGCATCATCCATTTTATATTTAAGATCATCGATACAGGAACCTATGTCCCTTATTTCATGGATGATCTTAGCAGTGAATGGTTCTGTTGCCGTAGTTAATTCTTGTTGAAGTTTAAATTTTTCAAGGAGGACAGAGTCCCGGACAGTCACCTCTGTGGGATCAGTTATTTGCCTGGCAGAGAGGCTATTGTGAGAGGAGTCTTCCAGATGGGAAATTAGCTCCTGAGAGGACAGTGAGAGGTCAGGTGAACGTCTTGGAGAAGCCATTTTGTAGGAATTGCTGAAATTTTAGATGTGCTTGAGGAAGATTTGGTTGGTTTGCCTGATGTAGTGGCAGATAACGTTCCCATGATCCCAGGGAGGATCAGGAGCATCTGTAACAGGGCCACCCAGGTACAATGATAAAGGTGAACAATAAGGGCTGCAGTAGGTGTTGGAGAGATCAATCCAATGAGCATAAAAATTGAGCTAAATTATAAGCTCAGAAGTTCCATGGAAGGCCCAGGTTCGCTTGTGAATGTCCCAGCGGGTTTCTACTATGATATGAAGGGTGCAAGGGTTCCCTACATATAGGGCTATCAGTTACCTCAAAATTGCGATAGGCAAAAAGATGGAATAGAGTGGAGGTGCCCTGATAGTGAGGGGGGTAGGTCAAGTCTGTGTTGGGGAGCTGGTTTTGGTTTCAGCAAAGGGGCACAAAGCAGCAAGTGGAGGTTGAAGAGCAGCCGGCTGGGTGCAGTCTGTCCACAGGGTGTGTGGTCTGGCACTGATGTAGGAAGCCTCCTTTCCTCACAGGCATCAGAGCCTAAGGACTGCAATGTACAATGGTCCACAGGCAATATGTAAAGAAGCAGTTATGGTGGCATAGTAGAGTATCGCTTGTCATGCAGCCATGGGGTATAGAGGCGGGTCGAGCCTGCTGATCAGCTCCAGCCAAGAGGGCCCAGTGGGGCTAGGGATCAGTCCGTAGGCTAGGTGGGAAGCTGAGGCAAGTCCGCTAAATGATCTGGCTGGGAAGGAATCAGGGTGGGGACATGCGGCGTGTACTCACGCCAGCACGCAGTTGGCTTTCCACAAGGCCGAACAGGATCCCAGCGACGTCCGGTTGCTGAAGCCTGGTGATGTGGTAGTCCTGCCTGGCGAGCTGCAGGCTGGTCCACAGGAAGCCAAGGAGGCTAGAAGGTGGGTGTGCGATGTCAGGCACAATTCTAATGGATGAGATGCTTTATAGCACACCCGGGCGTTGAGGAGCCAATCTAATGTTTGGCCATCTTCGTCGGCTGCTCAACCGCATGAAAAAAAAACTGGTCTTTACAACTACTTTTACAAACTTTGTTCAGGGAGTTTCCCATATAGCTCTTCCTGATCACCTGTGATGCTGTTCTCTTTGTACAAAAACTGCCATTTGAACCTATTAGACTTCTCGCTACTCTTGCGCAAAAGGTGGTATACCTTGTAGACATCACCTTGTGTGAGGCAAGTGTCTGAAGTGTTGACCCGATCTTGCAAGGAACATTTTCTGGTTTTGCATATGGATAAGAATAATGTCCCCGGTTTTCTCTCAGCTAGGGCATAATTCTTCCTTTCCTTTATCCTGCTTTAGTTTACTATAAGGAAACTTCCCTCTCTTGTTTCAATGTGTTTCGGGCTTCTTTCAGCAACATGCATTCCTTTTAGTCATCCCAGATGGTCCCTAGCTTCTCAATCTACCATCTCTGTGTTGCTTAGACAGTCTATTATCTAACCTTATGTTCTCAACAATTAGGTTCTACTCTTTTCTGTCAGGGTGCCCTCTGCTAGCTCTTTGAGTGCTTATTGGGCTTTTCTGTTCTTGGGCTTTTTGGCATCAAGCAGACTTGCAAGGCTGCCCACCTGGTCCTCTATTCATTCGTTCCCTGAAGTTCCACAAAGTGGATGTTCAGTCCTCACCTGATGCCAGCCTTGGGAATAAGGTACTTCATGCTGTTTTAGAAACTCCTAGTTTTAAAATTTTTGGGCATGTTAGAATTTGATGTGTTGCCCACTGTTCAGTTGAACTGCTTTTGGGCATCCAGAAGGGGAAAGACTTCTGTTTTTGACAGCCGAGATTGAATATAGGATTTTTTATACTGTCACCTTAAAATCCTTTTCTTGGTGTCAACTGGGGGACACAGGCCACACTTCTGTGCTTATGCTTATGATTCTCTTCATGGTACTGCTTTGCTGCAAAACTGAGGCGTACTGGTAGTAGAAAGTGTGTTGGTTTTTTTGGGGGGTTTTTTTGGGGTGTGGACTGGGTTTGTTAATGTCCAATCCTCCTGTAGGCGGCAGTAGAAAGTTGAGTGATGTCCTGTGGACTTCACTTTACATGAAGTACAAAATTCCTATTTTTACTGCATTTGCTGCTTTAAAGTATTTCTAAACCCAAGGAAAGTTGCTGTGTAGTGATACAGGAAGACAAGGTGAACAAGGAGCAAATCTACCTGAAAGATTTTGCAAAACCCAGTCCTGAACAGTGTGCAAATCAAATGTGGCAATACAAAAATATTTGTAACACTACAATTTGAGTGCTCTGATGTGATTACATTGTCATGGAATGTTTGTGCCAATTTTATATGCTTTGTTTATTTGTAAGTAAAGATTTTGAAAAAGTATTAATGTAGTATTTTCTTTCCCTGTTAACAGTTGAACAGAGTTAAACTTGTAGAGAAAGAAAAAGATGCATTAGAAGGTGAAAAGAATAAGGCGGTTGAATTTCTCAACATGGAGAATGAAACTTTTAAGATGAAGAATCAGGTCTGCCAGTATTACATGTAGGTAATCCATTAGGGCTTAATAAAAGCAACAATGTTAAGTGCAAGAACTGTTACTGCACATTACTGTTTACACCAGGTTATTAAATCATTATATTCTTTGGCCTCATGTACTGCAGCTCAAAGAAACTGCTCCTACAGGAGTTTGAGCTGTTTTGAACTTTTATTTTAATCTGCCTGTTAACTCTCCTCCATGTTAGCCTTTGTGTCCATGCACACTATAGCGTTTTCAGGAGTTTAGCGGCAGGGGAGTTTTTTAGTGGCTTTTTACCACTTTTTTGATGATGAAAACTCCTGTAAGGCAGAAACCGTTTTTGAGCTTCAATGTGTGCATGGGGCCTTAATGTGTTACATATAGGACATTCTTAGTTCAAAAAGTATAAGAAGTGGTTTGTCTGTGTTTTCTTACGGTTTGTAATGTTGTGACCTTAACACCAATAACCATTGTACTTTACCTTCCTCCCTCTTTTTTTCCAAATTTATGTAAAGACATGAAATGCAGAAACGTATTCAGGAGGAAGAGCAAAAGAAAGAAAAGGTGCAAGAAGAAACTAAGGAGATCAGTGAAAAAAGCAGTGTCCTTGCTGAGGAAATGAAGGCAAAGAACAAAGCTTTGAAAGATGTGGAGAAGTAAATATTTTTTTTAAAATGATCTTTGTGTAAACTTTGAAAATTTTGTATTTTTACATATATACCAAAGACACATTTTGGAGGAACTCCCTTTTTAATAATGCTAGCAAAGTGTTCCATTTCATGAGTGGTTAATTCAGGATGGTGTATCAGGGATGTCCAACCTCTTGACGTCCTTGGGCCATATTGCAAGAAGAGGAATTGTTTTTTGGGGCCACACTTAAAATACGCTAACAATGGGGATGGCTGATGAGCAGAAAAACCTATCTGAGTAAAAAAAAATATATATATTTTTTGTAATATTTTTTATTATAAAAGTGAAAGAGGGCAACATAAAATAAATGCAATATTTGACTCTTTTTGATAAACAAACGCATCAATATCTGGTTCGATGGATGTAGTGGCAAAACTCAGTGAAGTCTCAAAGTGCTCATCAGATATTATAGTTCTAATTTTGACCTTTGTGTGCTTCTTCCTTGAAAATAGTTGCTCACAAATACAGGTGCGGCTGAAAACTGATGACATGAATAAAGTGTAATTGTGAAGAGTGGGATTTTGTTTTTCTTTTGGAAGATGAAACAAGCCCTGTAAAGAGACACTGTAAATTTTTTCTTTGGCCTCGTGTTTACGAAGTTTAAACATATTTTTTTGCAAAAAAAATTGAAACATAACAAAAAATATATACATTTTTAATTAAGTTTATGATTTTGCCTTGAGCTGTAGTCATAGCTATCTTGGGTGTCAGGTTGGACACCACTGTTGTAAATGAAGTGCATAAGTCATTAGTCATGACGCTTATTTAGTGTGGGTGCTTGTTTTGAGTGGAACCATGTCTGCCACTCCGCTACACAGTGTGACAGCTAGCAGGGGATCTTCACATCAGTCTCTAACCCTCAAGAGGTGCACAATCTAAGGTCCCTAACTTACATTCATACACATGTTAGGGCCAATTTAGACAGGATCCAATTAACCTACCAGCATGTCTTTGGAGTGTGGAAGGAAACCGGAGTACCCGGAGGAAACCCACGCAGGCACAGGGAGAACATGCAAACTCCAGTCAGGTAGTGCCGTGGCTGGGATTCGAACCAACGACCCTAGTACTGCCAGGCAGAAGTGCTAACCATTTAGCCACTGTGCTGAGGTCTGCTGGATCATTGCTTTCTAGGCTCCTAGTAAAAAAATAATAATAAATGCAGTTTGTTTTTTTTTTTACCTGCAAACTGTGTATTCATTATAATTTTTTATTATTATTTATGTATTTACAAACACAAATGAACTTATCCTTTACCTTTTGTGCATGGAACACATTTGATGATGCAAAATAATGTCTTAACATGATTATGTAGAATGCGCTATGTAAGCTCCAGCAATTTCTTAAAATATCAAAGCTGGCTGTATAATGACAAAAACTACTGTTGCATTCTCATACTCATACATTATTTCTAAAGCCTGACATCTATATTGCCATATATCTATATACAACCCAAAGCCATCTTCTTTTAGGTCTTTTGCAATGTGTGACCTGTGCTAACGACATCTATATTTATTTAGGATTACTATATGTTGCCACATTGCCTCATAAGTTTTTGAATGGCCCATATATGCGTGGTATAAATGCTGTAGTGTTGTCAGTGTTCCTCAAACAGTATATTACTGTCAGATTGCGATAAAACCCCCAGTGTCTCACAAGAATAGGGAGTTATGTTCTTACAGTTGGGATTACTTTGTATGCTGGAGGGGCATCTCAGTGCCTACATGCTCGGGTTAGGATACAGTAGGATTGGCAATGGGTGTTCTTGAGGTGGGATTGCACCAATAGGGAACGCTCTCTTAAATTAAAGTGATATTAAACCCAGAAGAAAACGTTTATTATATTGCAGCTTACAATTTCTTAGATGTGGTAGCTGCATTAATGTTTTTTTAGGCTTTCTTTCTATTTTCATCTGGTGATCTGGCCAGTAAATCTTTTTTTTTTTTTTTTTCTTTTTTTCTTTTTGTTTTGTTTTCAAAATCATAAGCTGTCTTGCAGATGTATCAGTTGCAGGGATGAGACGGCTGCTTACAATGAGCAGTTTTAATTTATTTATATAAAAACTTTATCCCAAAAGGAAAGAAACTGTTTGCTGTGAGCTGGAGTTTGGCTCAATTTGTTAGTGTATTTAAATCTGCTAGTACATCCAACACTTCCCAACCCCCAGAAGGACAATGAGGCTATCCAAAGGTGCCCCCTGTGCTCCTTCATCCAGAGTGGGGGCATGCTAATAGAGGGGATGTGTTACTGGCCAGATCACCAGGTGAAAACAGAGGGGGAAAACCCTGAAAAAAGAAAATGAATGCAGCCCCCACATCTAATGAGTGGTAATCCGAAATATATTATATTTGTGGTTTTCGCTTTAATACTGCTTTAAATTCAGGACAAGGGGCAGAATTCCCCAGTGACCAGAGGTCATTGAAGCTTAGATGCAAAGTCACAATGCATGAGTTACTATTTTTTTATGGACCTATAAGGCTTTTATTTGTTGCATTGCATTAACAAAAACCCTGTTCTGGTTTTGTTTTTTGTTTTTTCCTGATGAAACAAAAATGTGTTAACCTCTTTTAATACCTTAATTGTATCTGACTCTATATAGTATGAAACCGCAGGCTGAATACTTAATTTGGTAAAGTGGAACTCCACTGTATCTGAGCACCAAAAACCGAAACCGCTATTTAACCACTTTTCTACTGAGCACTTTTACCCCCTTCCTGCCCAGGCCAATTTTCAGCTTTCAGAGCTGTTGCACTTTGAATGACAATTGCGTAGTCATGCAACACTGTACCCAAACAAAATTTTTATAATTTGTTTTGAGACAGATAGAGCTTTCTTTTTGAGGCATTTAATCACCACTAGGTTTTTTATTTTTTGCTAAACAAACTAAAAAAAGATTGAAAATTTAGAAGAAAAAAAAAAGTTTTTTCTTACTTTCTGTTATAAAATTTTGTAAATAAGTAATTTTTCTCCTTCACTGATGTGCGCTAATGAGGTTGCAGTGATGGGCACTCGTAGGTGGCACTGATGGCCATTGACAGGCATCACTGATGGGCACTGAAAGGCAGCACTCATATATGGAACTGATAGACGGCACTGAAAGGCAGCTTTGATGTGCACTGGTAGGCACTGATGGGCACTGGTATGTGGTATTGATGGGCACTGACAGGTGGCACTGATGGGGCTACATTGATCATCAGTGCCCTGATCAGTGTAGATGTCCCCTCTGAGGAATGCCGCTTACCGGCTCTCCTCTCCTCACGCACTGTCAGTGTGAGGAGAGGACTGCCGATAACCAGCATTTCTTTGTTTACATGCGATCAGCTGTGATTGGACACAGCTGATATCATGACAGAGCCGACATCAATGGCTCTTTACTCTGATCGGTAATCCGCTGTGTCTCAGGGACACATCACACCACTGATCGCCACGAGCCCCCGGGGGCACGCATGCACAGTTAAAGTGATGTCCTCCCAGAATGAGAGTATCGCCAACCGCACGTCATTTCCTTATATAGTGGGTAGGAGGTGGTTAAAGCAGAAGTTCACCTTTTTAAAAAAAAAAAAAAAAATGCACCTTTTTTGCAGGTAAAAAAGTGCATTTATTATTTTAATTCTTTTTATTTATTGAATTTCTTTTTTGGAAGCCTGTAAAGCATTGCACTCATAATCAGCAGATTGATGGTGCAATGTCAGGGTCTTGCAGACTGCCAGTACACTGTCTCCCCGTATCTCTGATACTAGCAGGTAGTTACTGAAGTCCAGGAATCTCAATTGACGACGAGAGCTCTCACCAGCACCCTCGCAGTTCATTGAGAGCTACAAGATGTCAGCCGCAATTGCAGAAGGTATTTGTAGACATTCATCGTCAGAACTCTGAAAGAGTGATGTGGCCATGTGGGTGGAACCCTGCATGACCACACTGTTTACAGATTGACAGTGGGTACGGAGAGGAGATCTCCCACCCATTTTCGCAGAGAGGACGGATTGGGGGGGGGGGTGGATACTCTACATATTACACCCTAAATACTGGTTTACCATGCTGAGAAAGGTGAACTTTCACTTTTCAATATTCAAAGCAAACCCACCCATCCATCCATGTTTCCATGTGTTAATTTTCACTTTCAAAAACACCCCCTAGCATTTCTAGCTCTTCATCTTGAGTAAGGCAGATGATTCATGTAGCATTTACTTCCTGGAATCCATCTGCCTTTAGGGCAGGCAGGTTCATGTGCTTAGCTGAGAAAGCCCCTCCTCCAAAAGAAAAGAAAATGCCTGCGATGTATGACATCATTTTGGGTTTTGCTTATATTTAAATCAAGTAAATATAATATACCTTCCTATCTATTTACTAATGCTAGCAGCATAAGCATTAAATATTTCTAATGTTGATTGAGAGAGTTTAGTTCCGCAGCATATCAGTGATAGCTTGATTTGACATCTAGCAGCACAGTATGGAGGTAGATTAACATACAGGGGATTTTTCATCTTCAGATAAGTGAAGAAAATGTTTAGTAGTACTATATACTTTCTCTTTTAGAAAGTTTACAATTACCTTAACAATATTTTTTTTTCCTCAAGGGAAATGAATAAAATCAACAAATTTGTTGAGGACAGCAGGGAGAAATTTACTCAGTTGGACTTGCAAGATGTTGATTTACGGGAGAAGCTCAAACATGCAAAGAGTAAAGTAAAAAAGCTTCAGAAGCAGCTTCAAAAGGACAAAGAAAAGGTAGAGCTTGTTCTTGGCCAACTTCTGCCTGTATATTACAGGTTTACATGTTTAGTTAAGTGAATAAATAGAGATCATTTTTTTTGTGTTTTGTTAAGGTGGAAGAATTAAAGAGTGTTCCTGCTAACAGTGATAAAATTATTGAAGAGGCTACCAGTAAAAAAGGAACCCTTGAGAAACAGAAAGAAAAGGAAGAAGAGAAGTTACAAGAAGTTATGGACAGTCTTAAAATAGAAACTCAAGGCTTACAGGAGGAAAAGGAGGTCTGTAACATTATGAAATCTTAAAGTGGTAGTAAGTTTACCTGGACAACTTTGCGCCATATAAAGCAGTATAAAATGACTTGCAAGTTGTTGGCTTTAAAAGTATTTTAACTTGTGCAGTTTGAGATATCGCCCGTTGTTTCTTTCAATGATGTCACTGACGCATGTGCATTTTTTTTATCTCGATTGACGGCACACTGAGCGTGCCGTTAGTCTATGCATCTACATGCCATGCTTCTGTTCCTCACCATTGCATTGAAATCTCGCAAGACCGCTGCCTATTCCTTATGCGGGGCTGAGTCACCATGGTAACTTTAAATGAAAACGAACTTGGTTCACTTGTACTGCATGTGAGTGAGATTCTGGCATACTAGACATACTAGAAAGGGTGGAAGTGCGAATGCGTAAGAATTCAGAAGTAGCAGCAAAGATGGCACCGGCTTTTTTCTTTTTTTTTTTTTTTTGTAATTGCCCACAGGACCTCTACGGTTCACACTTTCTAATAATAGAATATTGCTATTCTTAAGGGTCTCTAACTTAAAACTTTTTTCTATAACCTTTTCTTTGGTTTTTCCATTTTTGTTTCTAACCCATCCCTTACCTTCCCACACGGCACAGGCTCTCTGTTACACCCCTAGCTGAGCTTTGAAAGACTCTGATTTGTTCTGAACGTCCTGATCTGGTACATATGTTTGCTAACTTAAGGATGCCAGCTCTCCAGTTTACCTCCATATAATGTACGAGGTTTGTATGCCCTGGAAAAAAAACATTCCAAATTGTAGTCGGAAATTAAGTGCATCAAGGCTCAAGTGGTGTTTTCTCCAAGAGACACATTTCCGCTTGAATAAGATCCCTAGCTTGCATTGGTCTAGTTTCCCCATTGCTTATCACAGCACTTCCCCAAATTCTTAATCCAAAAGTGTTTTATTCTTATTTCAAACCAACTTCCCTTTATTTTGGACAATGAGGGGCGCTGTTTGGTTGTGAAGGGGAATATATTCGAGCATAAAATCACCCTGGCCAACCTACACTTTATTGCCAAAAGTATTGGAACACCCCTCCAAATCATTGGATTCATGTGTTTCAATCACTTCCGTGGCCACAGGTGTATAAAATCAAGTACCTAGACATGCAGACTGCTTCTACAAACATTTGTGAAAGAATGGGTCGCTCTCAGGAGCTCAGTGAATTCAAGCGTGGTATCGTGATAGGTTGCCATCTGTGCAATAAGTCCATCCGTGAAATTTCCTTGCTACTAAATATTACATGGTCAACTGTTAGTGGTATTATAACAAAGTGGAAGCAACTGGGAACAACAGCAACTCAGCCTCAATGTGGTTGGCGACGTAATATGACAGAGCGGGGTCAGCACATGCTGAAGTGCGCAGAAGTCACCAATTATCTGCAGAGTCAATAGCTAAAGACCTCCAAACTTCATGTAGCCTTCAGATTAGCACAAAAAACAGTGTGTAGTGCGCTTCATGGAATGGGTTTCCATGGCCGAGCAGCTGCATTCAAGCCTTACATCACCACATGCAATGCAAAGCGTAGGATGCAGTGGTGTAAAGCACACCGTCATTGGACTCTAGAGCAGTGGAGATGTGTTCTCTGGAGTAATCACGCTTCTTTGTCTGGCAAATCGATGGACGTGTCTGAGTTTGGTGGGGGATTATGAGTTGGGCTTGGCTCTTAGTGCCAGTGAAGGGACCTCTTAAGGCATCAGCATACCAAGACATTCTGGACAATTTCATGCTCCCAGCTTTGTGGGAACAGTTTGGGGATGGCCCTTTCCTGTTCCAATATTACTGCGCACCAGTGCACAAAGCATGGTCCATAAACATAGATCAGCAAGCTTTGGATGGAGGAACTTGACTAGCCTACACAGAGTCCTGACCTCAACCCGATAGAACACCTTTGGGATGAATTAAAGTGGAGACTGCAAGCCAGACCTTGTCGTCCGACATCAGTGCCCAACCTCACAAACGCGCTTCTGGAAGAATGGTCAAACATTCTCATAGATACACTCCTAAACCTTGTGGACAGCCTTCCAAGAAGAGTGGAAGCTGTTATAGCTGCAAAGGGTGAACCAATTCAATATTGAACCCTACAGACTAAGACTGGGATGCCATTAAAGTTCATGTGCGTGTAAATGCAGGAGTCCCAATACTTTTGGCAATATAGTGTATATCTTCCAAATGATAATCAAATTATCTTTCTAGAAAGATTTCTAAAATGTATAGCCCAGCATAGGGAGTGCACTCTCATTATTGGAGGTGACTTGAGTCTAGCTCTTGACCCTTTACTTGACGTGTCCAGGGGTTCCTCCCATCTGTCATTTTCAGCTTTTGAGAAGAGTGAAAAAGCGTCTCCATTCTTACCAACTGGTTCATGATGGACTACACATCCTCAAGACCAGGAATATTCTTACTTTTCCATACCTCACAATACATATTCTTGGATAGGTTATATTTTGATAGACAAGCAGGCTTTCCCCCTGCTTGAATCTTCTGCCATTGGCTCTTTCTCCATCGTAGATCATGCCCTTATACACTGTATATAGATCATTGGCCCACAGATACGGAAACACTGGAATTGACAATCAAATGAAAAACTAATTCAAGTTCTACCTTTCAGGCTAAGGTTCAACGTTAAACTGTTTTTTTTTTTTTTTTTTTTTTTTTTCTTTTTATATGAATTCAACTGAGGATGTCTCTTACATGCTGCACATAAGTGTTTCATACATGGCAATTTAATTGTTAGGTACTCAAAGGAGAAAAGCTGTTTCCACCCAACTTGATTCTCTAGTCTCTCAAATTTGGTCATTAGAGAGGGCTCATAAACCATCTTTGGCCCAACAAGTGCAAGATAAACTGTTTTCTCTCAGAATGAAACTACATGATTTTACAGATCAGGCAAAAGTGAAGCTACTTAGATGTAAGCATACATTCTGTGACTATGGAAACAAACCAGGTAAACTGTTATCACGGGCCCTTTGAGATGTTCGTCCCAGAATCTATATCCCGCAAATTATAAGTAAGAATGGTACTGTGGTTAAGGACTCTCCTATAGCTGCGAGTTTTCGGTCTTATTATATGGACCTGTATAATCTTCACTCTGATGTTGTGACGCCTCTCTCTCAATTTCAGACTGTAATCTGCTGCTATTTACAGGACTTCTAGCCAAGGTCCCAAGATCTAGATCGCCCACTTTACACAGATGAATTTAATTTAGCCCTTAAGGCTATGAGTACTGGGAAGGCACCTGGCCCTGACGAGTTCACCGTTGCATATTATAAATCGTTTCAGTAGGGATGCACCGAAATTTCGGCCACTAAAACATATCGGCCGCAAATAGTTCTATTGGCATTTTGCCGATAGGAAAAATGTTGCCGATACAGGGGACTGTGTGTACTGCAGATGTGGGGGGGGGGGGGCAGAGAAAGGCAGGAGAGGAGCAATGTATACAGTGACTGGCTGTCACTATATGTCAGTGCTGGTTTTTAAATGCAATTGCTGGGTTTTTGTTTTTTTTTGTTTTTTTTCTTCACTATAGTTCAGAGAATCAGGTGCCACTTTCCCTGAGCTAAAAGAAACTGTTTCTTTTAGCTCAGGAAAGAAACTAAGTTCCTTTATAGTTTCTTCCCCATAGCTCAGAGAATGAATGAAACTTTGTTTTCTTTGAGCTAGGTAAAGGAAAAAAAAAAAACGGCAATTGCTTTTAAAAACTGGCACTGACACATAGGGGTTTATTTACTAGTCCAAAATCAGACTCCCTTCTGCATAGAAACCAATCAGCTTCCAGGTTTCATTGCCAAAGCTTCATTGAACAAGCTGAGGTTAGAAGCTGATTGGTTTCTAGGCAGAAGGGAGTCTGATTTTGGACTCTCCAGCTTTAGTAAATAAACCCCATAGTGACATCCAGGGAGGGAGCCTCTCTGTATACACTGCTACCTCACTGTATACACTGCTCTCTCCTGCTTCCTCCTTGCACACACTGCCCCCCCCCCCCTTAACCTCCCCCCCTACAAAGATGGCCTGTCATATGCTATCATATAGGGGACTATTAGTCCCCTATGTGATAGCAATAAAATCATAAGTTAAAAAAAAATATATACATGAAAGTTGAAAAAAAATTATTGGAGCCTCCCCACCCCCACATACGCAGACATTTCAGTTTAGTTTCAGTTTTCAGCCACTTGCATTCTGAGTTTTCAGTATCTGTGATGGCAACAGAATTTTCATTTTGGTGCACCACTACTTTTCAGACTATTTGAGGTCCAAAATTTGTGGTGGCTTTTAACTAAGGGGAGATACCATAGCACAAGATACTCTCCATACTATTATTATTATACAGTATTTATATAGCGCCAACAGTTTGCTCAGCGCTGTACATTATAATGGGAGACCGTACACGAGACAGTACAGTAACAATACAATACACGAGGGGTTCGAGGGCCCTGCTCCTTGGAGCTTACAATCTAGGAGGGAGCGGAGAGTGGTACAGGAGGAAATAGCTGTGGGGGATGGATTGGTTTGAAGAGCGGAGGAGATCAGCAATTAGGTGAGGGCTGGGTAGGCTTCTCTGAAGAGATGGGTTTTCAGGGTGCGCCTGAAAGTGAGGAGGGAAGGTGATAGTCTGATGGATTGGGGTAGTGAGTTCCAGAGGATGGGGGAAGCCCTGGAGACAGGCAAGGGAGGAGGAGACCAGGGAACTGGAGAGAAGGTCGTCTTGTGAGTAGCGGAGAGAGTGCGTTTTGGGTGGTAGATGGATGTCAGGTCGGTGAGGTAGTTTGGGGCAGTGTTATGAATAGCTCTGTACGTTAATGTTAATATTTTGAATTTTATGTGTTGGGCAATCAGAAGCCAGTGGAGGGATTGACAGAGGGGGGTGGTGGATACGGAGCAGTTGGTAAGGTGGATGAGTCTGGCCGCAGAATTCAGGATAGACTGAAGCGGGGATAGCCTGTGTTGGGGTAGGCCGGTGAGGAGGGAGTTGCAATAGTCAAGTCGGGAGATAAGGGAGTGAATGAGTTGCTTTGTAGTTTCTGGAGTTAGGAACGTGCGTATTTTGAAAAAGTTGTGGAGGTGGAGTCTGCATGAATTTGTCAGCGATTGGATCTGGAGCTGGAAAGACAGATTGCAGTCTAGAATGACACCTAGTACTCTGGCTTGTGTGGTGGGGGCTGATGGTGGCGTTGTTGGTTGTGATGGAGAGGTCGGGGGGGGGGCGTGGGCTGGTGGGAAAACTAGGAGCTCGGTTTTGGCAAGGTTTAATTTCAGGAAGTGGAGTGACATCCAGTCTGATATGTCGTTCAGAAGGCTAGTGATTCGGGCGGAGACTGAAGGAGTCTTTTTTTTTTTTTTTTTTTTTTTTTAACAAACTTCTGGTGTCTTTGATCTTTCAGAAAACTCTGTGGTAAACTCTCTTTTGGGGAGGAAAGAGGGCCAAAATCAGCAGAGCAATTGGATTTGGGTTTCCAGATCCTATTAATATTATGCTGCTGCCCATTTAAGAAAAATTATTGATTGGTGTACCCAAAAGACTACTAAGTCATGGCCAAGACTACAACTGGCTGCAATTACTGCCCCTTTGGAAGGCATTATCTGGGCATATCCTGCTTCTTCTATGAGCAGACAATTCAACCCACACCCTTGTTGGGCCACCTTTTGTATGCTGTTAAATCAATTTTCAAGACAACATCTTTCACCTCATCCTAGTCCACTTCTGCTGATTCTCCTTTCAGATTTATTACCAAATAGTTTTACTGATTCACAATTCTGCATCTCTATGCCAGAGGGATATTTCCACTATGTCTTTCAATGCAACCATACAAACCATGCTTGGTTCATAATTGGATTTTCTTTTTGTTTTCAATTCGATTCCTGCTTGCGAGCCCTTCCTCCTGAATATTAAAATGTTCAGCCTCTAACATCATTTGAGAGGATTTGCGATAGGGCAGTGCTAAGTTGACATGCCCAATGGCAATCCTACTCCTTGCTGATAGCCAGAGACCATCAACGGGACCTGGGATTCTTGACAAAATGGGAACAGGATTTGAATATTCTGTTCTCCTCAGCCCAAAAAGCTAACATTTTTATTTCTTGCTCATAACACTTTGCTGCCAAACTTGTATCAAGAAAATGGTTATAAAATTCTCACTAGGTGGTATAAAACACCACAAGTTTTACATAAGATCAACTCTCAAGTATTCCCTCTATGCTGGTGCTGTCAAAAGGTGGAAGGTTCCCTTTTACACATCTTTTGGGACTGTCCAACGATTAATACTTTTTTGGTCAGAAGTTAAATCTTCCTTTTTAAAATCTTACCAGATGGTTCCTTTCAGACTAGCCAGCCACATCTCTTGCATGATACGCGTTTATCAAACTTTGTAAACATTCACTCCTAAAACATATTCTTAATGCTCCAAATGCATGTATACCGGCCCTATGGAAACAAATTACTTCACCGACATTCGAACATTGGCATAATAGGGTATCTGATATCCAACTTATGTACCAGTTCATTAGGAACCATAGCCTGAGAAAAACACAGTGAGATTTGGATGCCCTGGCAGGTATATTTTAGACTTTCAGTGAGTAGGCCTCGAAAGCCAGGATGTATGTTATCTTTGGAGGGTAGAGCTGGGTCCTCCCTGCCCGAGCCATCCCTCAATTTGTCCCGCTCTTTCCTCCCTCTCTCCCATCTCATCTTCCCTTTTTTTAATTGGTTATTTATAAAAAAAAAAAAAAAACAACCTCAACAGGATGCAGACCCTAATATCATGGTGAGTCAGTGTATACAGGATTACATATCCTGCTACGTTTTCTCTTTTTTTTTTTCTTTCTTTCTTTCTTTTTTTTTTCTTTTTTTGCCCCATTTGTTTGTTGCAGATTATATGGGTTTGTTTTCTGTATCAAAGAAGAGTCGGACTAAATATTGGATTGTAGTAAGATGTATTATTCGCCCTGTATTTGGTCGGATTAAAGAAGGTTTTTAAAAAGAGAGAAATTATTGGGATTACATGAGGGAGGGGGGAGAAGTAATTTTGAACATCAAACCATGCAAAATAGTCTAGTCTACAAAGCCAGTCTTTTTTTAATATTTGTGTTTTGTTTTTTTGGGGGTGTTTTTTACCAACACTTGATAACAATATTAAATTGTAATCCAAGGAAACAATTAGCACAACAACAAAGGGTTACTAAGAATTTATTTTAGGTTGGCTCAGTGTAATTTTCAGTGTAAAGATGGTGAATGTTGAAGTATGTGCAAGAGAGGGTCTCGCTGCATCACTGTGGAAGGGTTTTGAAGTTGGTGGCAACATGAGGTGTCCATGAGTGAGAAATTTCACAGTGGAGTGGGAGCAGATAGTTGTGGGTTTCCCAGGGTTCTGCTGGCCTCTGTGAAGTACTAGTCATTTATCGAAAGGGTTGTGCAATGCAATAATTGTTTTCTGTTCCTTGAATTAATGATCGCCATCTTATGAAGAATTTTTATGTAAGTACAGTATGTCTTGGCTTAACCTTGCTTTCCCTCCACATTAGAGTCTACATAGCTAAGAGAGGTTCGATTAAGGTAGAGGGTTTGGCTGATAGCCAGTTTGACATTAAAATTATTTCTCTCCTTGTTAGTAGTGGCAAGTGTATATCCAATACAAACTGTTTGTTCCAAAATCCTGACACACAGACAATCTCAGAGATAGTGAGTGTTAAAGTGGCTTTTGCTAGGCCATAGTATAGCAATTTTGTCATTGTACTGGAGGCATTTTATTTTTATTTTATGACTGGTTGCTGCATTAGGATTAGGTGACCTGACCTAATGTGCTCTTTCTAATTCACAGTTTTGTGCGCTAGGTTTGGCAGTGGGAACATGCTCTGAGAGCATACAGTTTTAAGGATAGCTGGCTTGTGGTGTTCTGGTAGGCCTATTAGGAGATTTTCTCTTCCAGCAGTTCATCTTCAAGCCATATTGTTTTTCCATAAGGTGAAGTTGTTGCTTTTGGGTCTCATGACTAGAGGACTGGGCTTTGGTTATCTCGTCCTCTAGCAGAGAGACACTGTGGTTTCAGTTATGTACTAGGATGCAGCCATGAAATCCTTGCACTGTTTTGTACATTTTAGACTGACAATTAGCAGAACAAGAGGGCTCTTTGGATCGAACTAGTCACTTATCCATCTTAGTGTGCTCAATTTCTAGGTGTGCTTCTTGCCACCTTGTTGGGCTTCATCGAGTTTATAGTGCTGTGGTGCTGGGAAGGCAACATTTTGAGACTGATGCTGCTTTTTCACCTTCTGGTAGGTGGATATTGTTGGAGTTGTGTTCTAAAATAAGGGATAAAGACTAATTTACAGTTGCTATATGTACCCATATGTAAATATGCTATATTTACCCCTAGGGTAAAGAGCGAGAACTGATGGAGTTGAATAAGAATGTGAATGAAACGCGGTCAAAGATGGATGTGGCCCAGTCTGAGCTGGATATTTATTTAAGTCGACATAATACAGCCTTGTCTCAGCTTAACAAAGCAAAGGATGCATTAAACACAGCATCAGCAACATTAAGGGAACGAAAAACTGCTATCAAAGAACTGGAGACCAAACTGCCAAAAGCAGAAGAAGATCTTAAGAAGGTATGTAATATAAGAGTAGGGCATTAATGAATAATGCTATATCAGAGGTGTGGAAAATTTATGAAAAAAACTACTTGTCCAGGGACTAAATTGGGGTCCCAATGTACTTGTCCCTCACGACAATCTACTTGTCCAGGTAAAGAAAAATAATTTTTAACCAAAACCGTATTTAAATCTGAGGTGCATTTAGGAAGGTCTGGGGCTTTTTAAATCATATGGGGCTTTATGGCGACCTAAACATTTAATATTTTTATCATTGCGCTGTTATCTCCTCCTCTCCTTCCTGCCTCTCTCCAGCACTGCACCTCGGCACTATCAGGGAGGAGAGAGACCTTGCAGTGTAATGAGCATTTACTGGGTGCTCCTCAGGAAAGGGGAGTGTTGGGCTTATCTTTTATCCCTTTCACTACCAGAGCCGTTTTTCTGTGTTTTTTGCACAAGTTTAAAAAATAATTTTAGGATGGAAGATTATACAAAACCCCCAAACATTATATATTTTCTGAAAGCAGAGACCCTAGAGAATAAAGTAGTGATAGTTCCAATTTTTTATGTCGCATGATATTTACCAATATTACTTTCAGAAAAAAAATACACTTTTTTTTAGGGTACAAAAAAGCAATAAATTACTCCTATTTTTTTGTAAAATATAAAAGATGAGGTTGCACCGAGAAAATAGATAATCCAACATGTCAAACCTTAAATTTGTGTGCACTCGTGAAATGGTGACGAACTTCAGTAACCTATATTTTCTATAGGCGACACTTTTAAAGCCCCATATAGGTCATCAGTATAATGTTATGGTGGATGTCTCAAGCTAGAATTATTGCTCTCATTCTGGCGTGCGCAATGACATGTAACTTGTATCACAGTCAACGTTTCCTTACTTATGCTCCGCAGCGTGTGCTTTTTCCTTTGTACGTGCATATATGTGAGAGTGGATCATATATTTATTTTTGAGGGGATGTTATGTGGTTGGCTCTAACTTAAAATTTTTGCAATTTAAAAAAAAAAAAAAAAGTCCCCATGTGATGATTTTTGGTGACAGGTTCTCTTTATTTTGAGACATCCAATGTCTAAAAGACCATGGATGTCTGCCCTGTGCTCCGCTGAATGTAATGCAGTGTGCATCACACCGCATTACTTTATTTCCTGTCCTGGATGGCCGAGAAATCTGTCAATGGGGGCCTGGAAGTGACATAAAGTCACTTTGGGGTCAGGACAAGGAGGGGAGGGGAGCGGACGTGTCATCAATCCCCCCTAGCCAATAGTGCAAGTTGAACAGGCCCACAGGTGGGCAAGCAGAGCCCGGGAGGAGGTTCACGCGAGGGGAGGGGTGGTGGTTGCAAGGCTGGCACTGTGGTCTGTGTGAAAGCAATCGGGCAGCAGTGCGGCCGCCTGACGAATGCTATCACCTGACAGGTGAGCCCTGCTGCTTGCCTGCAGCTGGGCTAAAGGTTAAAAAAAAAAAAAAACTAGAAAAAACCCAACCTGCCCAGTGCCCAGTACTAAATGTCCCTGGCGCTGGGCGGTATAAATTCAACATCCCTGTATATACCTGCTTTTAGCCATAGTGGTTAAATGTTTCTTGCTGGTCTTGCGCCCTGCTTTTAGTTTCCACCATCCTTGTAGTCCTCCACAAATACATCAATAATTCAGTGTGCAGCATTCAGTCTATAACTTTACAATAGGCATTTTGCTATGATATTTGTATTTTTTGCATTGTTTTATCTTGTAACATTTATCTGCAGCATCGACAGCTACTTTTATCTACCTTTTAACTATCCTTATCTTATATCCCAGGACTCAAGGTATCTTCTTATTCATTACAATAGGGTTATGCTGTCCTCTTCAGATGATTAGACACTGGCAAAAAAAGACAAAATTCGCTCCCAGGCAGGTATAGTTTGCAAGTGTCTTAAAGTGACATTAAAGGAAATAAAAAAAAAAAAAAAAAAAAAATGTCATACCTGCTCTGTGCAGTGGTTTTGCACAGAGCAGCCCCGATCTTCCTCTCAAAGACTCCCTCTGGCCATTGGGAAGGAAGAGTCCCCGGAGAGCCACTGCTCTCGTCAACATCGCTGGATCGAGATGGGGCCCAGGTAAGTATGAGGGGGGAGCTGCACACAGTTTTTCACCTTCATAGAATACATGAAGGTAAAAGAACTTGAGCCTTTACAACCACTGTGTAAAATCAGCTTTTTGTTTGTGGTGTCCATGCTTGGAAAATCTTTGTGACCAATTTAAAATAGGTTATTTAAAAAAAGATACAAATTGCTTCACTCTATGCTTGCCAAAAACAAAAATTGTTGCCACTTAATTTGCTAGTAGATTATAGAGTGCTTCATACAACTTTTTTGTTGGCTAATTTGATTGCCATACTATATTTACAGAAAGAGACTGAGCTGGAAGTGCTTGCACAAGAAGAAATCACTGTGAAGAGCGAGGTCAGAGAGATCAGACAAAAGGTGGAAGAGTCCAGAAGTTCCCTGTCTGCAAATTGCAGCAAGGGAAAGGTTCTTGATGCTCTGATTCAGCAGAAAAAACAGGGAAAAATTCCTGGGATCTATGGCAGATTGGTATGTTTGCATGATTTTCAAAAGGCACATATTCATTCAAAAAAATGTGGTTTCTTTTCTTCTCTATGGCATTGAGCAAAGTTTAAAATCTATACTTGCTGTCCTATGAATGTATAGTGGAAGGCTTCAGGCTAGTGGTATATACTGTAGTTTTTAAACTTAAAACTACTTTTTAAAACTTAAACTAATTCTTGCTGGTGCCATGTGTCTGACGAAGCCATTGTGTTGTGGCGCCACTGGTTAGATATAATTTTTCTTCACCATTTCTGTAGGTGTGTTTTTTTTTTTGTTTTTGACACTGTAATGTTTAAGACATCTTTGGTGAAGTGCATGCAACATGTTATCTGCCTGTCCCTACGGCTGTGTTCATATAAGATCCTTGTCTAGGGAGGACCCTGGAACCAAAAGTCAGGCTTTATACAGCATCATCTAGTTATATATTGGATAATAAAAAAATAGTAACCCAATCTGTCATCGCTGCTTGAGAAATTACATGCGTGTGGGTGCAATTAGCTGTGAGAGCCGGTAGCCTCTCGTTGACCCAATGGGACTGCCTCCTTGCAACTGTGTGTACCAGGCACTAATCCCCTGCATATACATTTTCTGATTGAGAGACAAAAGGGCAGCATTGTTGGCCAGTCTGGCTTTCATGCATTGCACAGATGTTCGAATCACATGATTGTCTCACATTGATAAGAGATCAGAGTTTGCCTTATCAGTTACCAACTGCTCCTTTACCATCTAATAAAAGTCTGGATTTAAGCTGGGTATACATGAATAGAAAAACGATGGGAAAATTCTTCCCAGAATTGAAACATTCTTTCATTTTTACATTCATGACCAGTCATTGTATCGGAAATTTTTCTGATAGTTATTACTAAAGATATATTTTTCTCCCGATCAAATTTTTTGTTGTTAAAAGATAAAGACCGCTAAATATTTAGACAGTTTTGCATGGGTTTCTGTAGAGGCCACTGTGTTACAAGAACTAATTATACATATTTGATTTTGTTTGTGCTTTTTTAACACTGAAAACGTAAAATAAGTTTGTGCTTCAAAATTACAAACAAGCTGCAAACACAAGATTGTGTATAATAAAAACAAAAAAAAAGTTAGGTGCTGCTCTACCAATATATACACGTGGCAGGCATACAACATTTCCTGAGTGAAGTAAAAATAAACTTAATAATGCTACTACGTGGAATAAATTAAACAATGTATCATTAAAGATGTATATAAGCACACAATATTGTAAGTCCTGTGGTTACTAAAGTTCAAGCAATCGGAAAACAAGATTTAACTTGAACACTAAAATTTAACTTTGAGTGAATCAAAAGTACATCAATGTTCCAAGAAATCTGTGTGTAGTACAGAAACAAATAGAGGAATAAAGTGAAGACCATCAACGAAACTCCCAAGTGTGTTTGCTAACCTTTTCAGGTTGACCCTTACTACAGGGGTCACTGTAAACCAAACGTTTCAGATTGTAGCTGCAGGTGGATATCACATGGACATATGTGCGCTCTGTTTTACGCGTTTATTGGTAGCACAGCACTTAACAACACTTTTTTTGTTTTTTTAAATCTATTTGTCTTTTTAACATACTTGTAAACCAAGTGTGTGCCATTGACAAGTAACATAATTGTTTATGCTATCAGGGGGACCTTGGAGCTATCGATGAAAAATATGATGTTGCCATTTCCTCATCATGTGGAGCTTTGGATCATATTGTGGTGGATACTATTGACACAGCTCAAGAGTGCGTTAACTTTTTGAAGAGACAGAATGTTGGAGTTGCAACATTTATTGGCTTAGACAAGGTATTTCAAATTGTTTTTATTTTTTTACATTTTAAGGAAATGGAAATTGTGCAGAATATTTGGTTCAAAGTTATATCCTGTACTTTTAATTTTCTTTACAGATGAATGTGTGGGAGAAAGGAATGAATAAAATACAAACCCCGGAAAACATCCCTCGTTTGTTTGATATGGTGAAGTGAAGGATGAGCACTTCAGGCCAGCCTTCTACTTTGCCTTGAGAGATACACTTGTTGCAGATAATTTAGATCAAGCAACCAGAGTTGCCTTTCAGAAAGACAAAAGATGGAGGGTAGTGACTCTGCAAGGACAAATTATAGAGCAGTCTGGTAAGGACTTTATGCTGTGTGTGTGTTTCGCCTAAAGCATTTGTAACTTGATTCCTGCTGTTTTAGTAAACCCATCAAATTTTATTTTCAATCTTTTTTTTATTTTTTTCTTTATGTTAAATTGTACAATTGATGTTGTCACACATTGAAGCTTTAAACCCCAACTCCAGGCAGAAATTTTGTTCAGTTTTGTAGAGAGTGGCAAAGTTTATAATTCTGTCAGCTGAATGTATCATTGGGAGATTTTCCTTCATTGCCTATCCTGGAAACTCAACAGAAAATAAGAAAGCTCTTCGAAAGGGAAATCACCTCTTAGGCAGTTGTTACTGTAACAGATGGCCTCCTTAGTTCTTAATTCTATTCTGCTTCTGATGACAACTGTAAGTTTAAATTTTCACCCCAACTTTTTTTAATTTGACAATGATAACCTGGGAAACCAGGAAAGCAGGTGGATTGCCCCAGGCAGCACCCTTTATACTTCTTTATTTTAGCTTACAGGTAGCGGAACAAGGTCTAATACTTGCATTATTCCTTCCTTTGGCACTTTCCATTTCTCTCCAATGCTTTGGTTGTGGGAGGACCCTCACTGTCCCCACATACAGTGTTGGATTTTTGAGAATACAAGGGTGCAACTACTGACCAGTGTGTCTAAAGGTGGCCATAGATGGATCAAAGTTTGGCTGGTTCAGCAGGGATCATTTTGATCTACAGTATGTGTGGCCACTGCAGTTGAACAGAAGTCGATCTACTCATCCCTGTCAGATAAAAGCTGATTGATCAGCGCCGCATGCAGTAGGTGGTTAAGAAGCAATTTCACTGTCCTCTTACTGCTCACCTTAAAGAAGAATTCCAGCTGTTGGAAGAAATTTTAAAGGAAAGCAGCTACAAATACAGGTGCTCATTCTTTTATTAAACAGGTACTTGTCAGCCTTAGGGATCCAGCGTTGTCATCACCCGGGCCAGTTCTTTACCAGTATTCAGGTCCAGAGTGCCTCCATCTTATCCTCTTGGCTCACAGCCGACTCCCCACTGTGCTTGCATGAGCTGCACTGTACTTTCTGAATGGATCCGCAGCCTAATAGGACCTGTAATATGTCCCCAGAAAGCTGCGAGCAGGGAGGACGGGACCAAATTTCCACTTGGATCACCTAGGCCACGGGTTTCAAACTGGCGGCCCTCCAGCTGTTGCCAAACTACAAGTCCCATGAGGCATTGCAAGATTGACCATTACAAGAATGACTCCCAAAGCCAGAGGCATGATGGGACTTGTAGTTTCGCAACAGCTGCAGGGCCACCAGTTTGACACCCCTGACCTAGGCAGTCCAAGTGGAAGTGAGAGCGGGTGTCTGTCAAAACTAGGTACCTGCTCCCTGGGGAAAAAAGCTTCCAAATGTGGTGATTTGGTGATGGCTGGGGGGGCTGGTTATTGGGAAGAAAAATGAAAAATTTCCCTTTTTAGGTGAAAGTCTGCTGTAAAGTAACTTGGTTTAGTAGAAGTTGATGTGCACATGCTATGATACTTTGCGGCTGTGGCTAAAATGATACCTCTCATGCCATTCAACAAGCAGTACCACTGCTGAACACAACCCATTCATGAGCCAAATGCTAGGTGCAGTAATCCCATTCACAATTCCAGTTTTGGCTGCCAAAAAAAAAAAAATTGGCATTCGGGAGGCAGCAGCATGCTCTCTGAAAAGCATTCCATCATGGATCTCTTTTTTCAGTCACCTCTGCAAGTGACCTAAAAGTGGATCAAAATCCTTGTTTTATTTTAACAAAAACTGCAGAATCTGCGGGGGGCAATAGTGCTATTTTTTCTTTATATGTAACCTTTTTGTAAACTTCTAAACCGTTTCTTGAGGCACTTGCAGGATTTGACATGGGTAACTACTGTATAGCAAATGTTTGTTGTCTGACATTGTGGTAGAACTCAATCCATCTTTATGAAGGTAACAAGCACCACATATAAGTGTTCTTTCATTATTCTTTCCTTATTTTCACCTGGTGAACTAGCCAGTAAGTCTATTTTCCAAAATGGCAAACTGCCCTGCAGATGTAGCAGTTAGAGGCTGATGACAAGCAATTTAACACTTACAGGATCAGCACTTATGTAAAACCTTTTTCCAATTAGAAAAAAAAAATACCGTTTGGTGTAGCTGCTTATAAAGTGTTGGCTTTAGTTTCTTAGTGTATCTAAATATGTGCATCTAACACTACCCTCTCCCTAGACTGACAGTGCTGCTGTCCAAAGGTGTCTCTGCTCCTGTGTAAGCATTTTATTACAGTAGGTGTATTACTGACCAGATTACCATATGAAAATAAAGGGAAAAAAGCCTTACGCTAATGCAACTACCGCACCTAATGATTAGTAAGCTGCAATATACAGTATTATAGTTTTGGTTTTGTGTTTAATACAGTTTACTGAGTTGTGTAAAGACTTATATAGCTCATGAGTGCTGTAGTCTGTAGTGTTCTTTGTGTTCTGGGAGTTCTTTTGTATGTGCTGTGTATGTTGCCTTCATTCTGCACAGTGTGTTCTGTGTATGCTGCCCATGGCTTCGCAGCACCTTCAATCTGGGCACTGATGCACATGTGGAGCCTGGACTCTGAAGACCACTGGAGAGGTTACCATAGAGAGGCAACAATGGCCGCGGGTCCTAGGACTCTGTAGCTCTGCAATGAAAACCTTCTAACTAGTATTATCACAGCATAAGAGTTCCACCCTCTGGGGCATGGGGGAGCTCTGTCCACGGTTAGAGATCAGTTGGCCTTTTGGTTGGCTCTTTCGTCAAAAGAGAAGAGTGGCTTATCGGGCACAATTGGTATTTGAACTTGAGGCCATTTATCTAGGTCCATGATCCCTGTAGGGGCTGGTGCTGGAGGGCACATGCGCAGGCCCACCCAGATGCCATTCTGTGAATGCACACACCATCTTAAACGCTGGCTGACTCTTTCCTGGATTATGATGGGCACAGACACACTCAGGCTCCCTCCAGTGTACAGCACCGCTGGGCTCCAAGGACTTTTAGTGTCTGGACAACAGCAAGGCTTCCCTCTCCATTTTATCAGGTCAAGATTGTGAGTTGGAATGCAGGGACCAGAGTTAATATTGCTTAAAGCCACAGAGTAGGGTCTTTGAAAGCTCCCAAACCTCCAAAGACGTTTGTTTTATTCTTATCCATGGAAGAATCTTTACAAAGACTAGATTCATCTTTATTCCTCCAAAACCGTTTGCGTAGGATGAACAAGCATTTCTACAAGTCGTTTGTTCCAGCACTGGATGCTGCTATGTTATTCCTGAACAAGACCCTAACAATTCCTGTGAATTAGTTCCAGTGTTTTAAGGACCTTTTGAACAAGAGGTTTTCAGCACTCTTTAAGGCATCTATTTCCCTGGTAGGTGCTGCTATACAGCCTTCTTTCTCTCTACAGTTGGTGCCTACCAGGTCCAGTTAATGTGAGCCATTTACATGGCTAAGGATCCAGGTGCCATTAGGGCAGGTTCCTTTGCATGTCAGGATATGGAGTTCTTTCCAGATGTTCTGCCTTTTTGCAATGATGGGCTGGGAGTTCTCTTTTGGCAGCTTTTCAGGGCCTCCTGTAAGTACACATGAGACATATCCTGAGGCTCAAGTGCTGGTTAGCAGACCTCCCCTGCAATAAACCTCTTGAACATGTGCCCTTTGAAGTTAAAAGTCTGTTTGGTAGCATCTTGGATACCTTTATCTATGGGATTACTGGAAGCAAGTGTACCCTGTTGCCCCTGAAAGAGAAGATGAAGATTACAGTACTCAAGTAGTCACCAGTTTAGACCACAAAGAGTTTATTTTCATTCCTCCTAGACCTCAGGTTGCAAGTAAAAATCCAGAACACGGATCTTTAAGAAGTCCAAGGCTTAAGTTACTTCCTAAAGGCTGTATGGACCTGGAACGTTTCAGATCAATGGTTCCAGCACATCATGTCCAGGTGTTACAATCTGGTGTTTCTTCACCTTGCCTCCTCCATGCTTCATGCCTTTCAATGTGCCTTCTGCTGCACGCAGGAAAGCCAGTCTTCCAGCTGCCCTTGAGCAGCTTTTCTCTGAGGTTTGTTGTTCCTGTTCCATAAGGGGAAAGATTGCACTCAAACCTGTTTACTGTTCCCAAGTAAAATGAGGGAGCCTGTCCCATTTCGGATCTAAAGGTTCTCGGCTCGTTCCTTTTGAGTGCAGTTATGTTTGGGGTCTGTCCAGTCAGAGATTCACTCCCATGCGTGAGGTTTTCTGGCTTCGGTGGAAATTAAGGAGTCTTATCTGCCCATGTCTATATTTCAGCGCTATCTGCTCGTTGTAGTTTGTGCTCTTAGTTTGTGGCCCTGTCTTTTGACCTATCCACAGCACCTTGGGTTTACACCCATGCTTTGGGCCCACGGAATCTCCATTGTGGATTATCTGGATGATCTACTCCTGTGAAGCAGTTGTTGCAGACACTCAATTCCAGTGTGCAGCAGACAGTGCAGACACTGCAAAGCTCTTGTTGGTCCTAAACCTCCAAAAGTCAGTGAGTCCTTCTAATGCTTGGAGTTCCTGGCCATGGACAGAACCCTGTCTCGCATTTCCCCCATGAAGAACATCTGTCCCTCTGCTCTAAAGTGGGGCATCTGCAGCTTGTTGTGCGCCCTTTAATTTGCTTATGCACGAGGATACTGGGCTTGATGGTGGCTTTCTTAAGAGTTATTCTGTATGCCCAGTTTTACACTAGACTGTTGCAACTCAACATTCTAGTGACCTGGAACAGATAGATTTGCCTATCTATCAAGAAGAGCCTGGAGTTGGAGTTGGGAAAGTCCTTTTTTCTGATGATCTGCAATCTAATCTAATGTA